AGCTAATCAGTCCATCTATGCCTCCTTCAAGGGCGGACATTTGGTTTCTAATCACTCTCTTTATGAATATTGTTGTCCACCACAGCCCTGGGGTGCGTAATGTGGAGAAAATCAATTAGGACATAACTAGCTGAAGCTGATGCTCACCATCATCCCGTTGACCCAGTTGCTTTCCTGAAGGCACACTCTCCCCAGGGCTGAAGTCCATCAACCAGAGGAAGACAAAAGTGGCATTCCATTTCTTCTGGATAGTTAATGTCAAGGTCACTATAAATCCTTCCCTAATGGATGCCTTATCTTCTCTCCACCCTACTGTCGTCTTCCCTTTCCTTTTCCTTTCTCTCTACTCTTAACACCCATAAAGTCACCTCATCTCAGGAAAAAAAAAAAAAAAGGTATTTCTAGAGTACCTAATATATGTCAGATTGGTGTACGTTCTTTGTTATTCTCAAACCTTCAAAATTTTCTCTCCCTTCCACCCTCTCAGTTAATGACCCTGATTCTTATTTCACTGAGAAAATACTCTATCAGAATAGAACTTCCTCATTCTCCTGCCTTCACATCCATGGACCTACCTGCATCTCTGTCTGTCTGTTCTCCTATTACCATGGATAAACTGTCTCTGCTTCTTTCTAAATCCAAAATGCTCACTTGAGCCCTGTATCCCATTCCTTCCTGCCAACTCAAGATATGCTTCTCCAGTCATCTCCTCACCCCCACAGATGTCTCCCTTGCCTGGATCGTATGCACACAAGCATACTGTAATAGGTCCCTCGATAAACTCTCCCATAACAGACCCTCTTTAACACTCTCTTTTCTAGCAGAACTCCTCCACTTTTCACCTCTCATTCTCTGGAGTCTATTTCTGTTAGCTTTCTTTCCTATTACTCTAGTAAAGGCATCCTTATCAAGGTCACCACAACCAACAAAATGCCAAGTATCAATTCTCAATCTTTACCTTACTTGACTTCTAAGCAACATTTGATTCGTCCTTCTTTGGAACACTTCCTTTGCTTGGAAATTATATCTATGATTTCTACTTGAAATCTCTGTGTATAATTTCTAATAAGCTTATCATACTCGACATGAAAACCCAGAAGTCTCATGCTCTCCTACCTCCTGCAAGATAACTCTTCCTCCTATTGACCCCAGTTCAGTAAATGACAGCATCTTTCACCCAGTGTCCACACCAAAAACCTAAGAATCATCTGTCTGTCATGATTCTATTTCTCTCCCATCTCACATACCTAGTCCATCAGTAAGGCCTAGAGGCTTTACCTACAAAAGAGATCTCGAATCCAACCATTTCTCAGCATCTATGCAATTATTTTTTTGGTCTAAGCTCCCACCAACTTCTCCCTGGAACACTGCAGCTGATCTCTTATTCCTTCCCTGCAAAGCAGCCAATGTGATCTTTTTAAAAATGTAAATCAGACACTATCACTACCCTGCAAACCCACATATAGCTTCCCATTACATTGGAATAAAGTCCTACTTTTTCCCATGTCTTAGATGGCCTCTGTGATCTATCCCCCAGCCAAGTCTCCAACCCCATTCCCCTGCTCTCCCCCTTTCCTATTCTATAACAGTCACAACGGTTTTCTTGCTATTTCTTCAAAATGTCAACTTGTTCATACCTTGCACCGTTTCCCCCACCTGTAATGTTCTGCCTTCAGATGGTGGCATGGCTTATCCCTCACATCATCTTGTTTTCCAACAATACCACCTCTTCAGAAAAACCTCCTTGATAAGTCTTAAATAGCTCTCCTGTAATCTTTACCCTACCTTATTTTTCTTCATATTTCTACTTCTACCTGACAGTATAGGATAGATATTGATCTGCTTATTGTCTGTCTCCCCTGCTGGCATAAGAAATCCATGAGAGCAATGACTTTTGCTTTTGTTTTCCTTACATTATTATCCAAGGCCTTAGGGGGTCCACGCACACTAGGTGCTTAATTAATATTAGTTGAATGAATGAATGAGGTTATGCAAGAAGGAAAGGGATTTGTACCATTTCCTTTTTATTTAGCTCAAATACTACCCCTCCCTACCCTTCTTGCAGCTCTTGGGAGCTCTGGGAGCATAGCTCTCATGTTAGCTCTTCTAGTATATCAAATCACCAGAACCGTCCAGCTCACCTTTCTAAAATGCAGCTGCAAAATGCCAAACAGACCACAAACAGTGTGACTCAGCAAGCAGAACATAGTCACAAAACAACACTGCAGGCAGACCTGGGAATAAAGCATATACCACCCACCAGGGCTCAAAATCCTTTCCCAGAAGCTTCTGAAGTAGATCAAAGATTATCTTGCCTTCCCAGATAATCAGAAGCACAGATGCACATTCCCCGGATGTTGAGTTAGGAAACATACCTTATACATGTGTTTCAGAGCCAATATAGCCTTTCGTAATCAGGCACTATATTCCCAGGCACTGGGCTCCCTTTAGTCAGAGAGCAGTGCTGTCCACAAGGAGGTCAGCCAGTGTCAACAGCCCAATCAGACCCAAACGCTCCTTCCTATAACATTTTGTAATGCCCCTTTACCACGCTGAAATGAAATGTATACATAAAACTATCTAGTTAACATAATTCTTAAAGGATCAATATACAATAATATAAAGGAGGAATAGAAAGAAAATAATTTATAATAAAATAACACAGATTTCAATATAGAAATACTTGGGCACAGCCCAATGAAGTAGTAATAGCTCCAAATGAAAACCAATGCACGTGTGTTTTCATGGAGACATGAAAACTAAGCAGTATTGCTGCCAGTGACTTTATTTTCCCAGCAGGTGAGCAAATCCTGCTAAAGTTCCAAATTAAACAAAGTAATCTTTCCTCTATTTGCAAGGGAATTACACTTCTGGAAGACTCAGTATTTATTTAAAATATTGTATTCATATATAAAACAGAGTTAGGTTTCTAGATTGGGATCATTATAAACAGGGTTCTCTGCCACATAACATTTGAAGGATGTATGGGACATGGGTGGGACTGCCCGTATCGTGCAGGAGGACCGGTATCCCTAGGAAAACCAGAATCCTCCCCTAACACACACAAATACATAAACATGCATTTTAAAAATTCCCCCAAATGGAAGCTTTGCCCCTCCATGCCCCAGAACCACTATTCTGGGCCAATGCCAGGCTTCACCACCTGAGCCCAGAATGTTTAGTGGTCTTTGTGTTTGAATTGCTCCATTTTAATAGATTGCCAAGGTCTGGGGTAAAAAATGTGTCAGTCAACGCTTCCCTGGTGGCGCAGTGGTTGGGAGTCCGCCTGCCGATGCAGGGGACGCAGGTTTGTGCCCCAGTCTGGGAGGATCCCACGTGCTGCGGAGCGGCTGGGCCTGTGGGCCATGGCCGCTGGGCCTGCGCGTCCAGAGCCTGTGCTCCACGGCGGGAGGGGTCATAGCAGTGAGAGGCCCGCGTACCGCAAAAAAAAAAAAAAAAAAAAGTCAGTCAAACCGTTACGGAGGAAAGTTGGTTCCTGCAGCCAGATGGCAAAGGAAGCCTGACTTCTCTGAGGAAAAATCTATGCGTGAGAAAGGGGGAGAAAAAGGGTGGAGAGGATGCAGCAAGAAAGTAGGGGAGCACATGTGTGTGTCCAGTCAACCCCAATAAGGATTATCTCTGTGGTAATAATCTGGGTTCTCCAGAGAAATAAAAGATAGATATATATGTAAAGAGATTATTATAAGCAATTGGCTCACATGATTGTGGAGCTGAGAAGTCCCCAAATCTATAGACCCAGGAGAGCTAAAGGTATAGTTTCAGTCTGAGTCAAAGTGAGAAGCTAGAAGATAGTCAAGCAGACAGAGTGACTCACCTCTCACTCAGCCTTTTTTATTTATTTAAATTTTTTCCCCTAACCAGTGTTAGGAAGATATTTTCTTTTTTTAAAAAATTAATTAATTAATTAATTAATTTTTGGCTACGTTGGGTCTCCATTGCTGAGCACGGACTTTCTCTAGTTGCAGCAAGCAGGGGCTACTCTTCGTTGCAGTGTGCGGGCTTCTCATTGCAGTGGCTTCTCTTGTTGTGGAGCATGGGCTCTAGGTGTGCAGGCTTCAGTAGTTGTGGCACGTGGGCTCAGTAGTTGTGTCTCGTGGGCTCTAGAGTGCAGGTTCAGTAGTTGTGTCTCCTGGGCTCTAGAGCACAGGCTCAGTAGTTGTGGCACGCAGGCTTAGTTGTCCGTGGCATGGGGGATCTTCCTGGACCAGGGATCAAACTCATGTCCCCTGCATTGGCAGGTGGATTCTTAACCACTAGCCACCAGGGAAGTCCCACTCAGCCTTTTCATTGTATTCAAGACTTCAGTGGATAGAATAATGCCCACTCATAGTGGAGAAGACAATCTGCTTTTTTTAGTTTACAAATTCAAATGGTAATCTCATTCAGAAACAGTCTCACAGAAACAACCAGAAATAGCGTTTAACCAAATATCTGGGCACCCCATGACCCAGTTAAGGTGACACATAAAACTGGCCATCACACTCTGGATCTCCATTTCTCATCCCTTTCCTCTGAGGATTTGGATCCAAACAGAAATCAGACAGAGTCTTACCCACACCAACTGATTTGTAAGAGGTATAGGGTTGGTGTTTTCTGGAGTGGCTGACTTAGAAATGGAAAAGAAAATTGAGAATCTTGTGACTTAGCCAGGCTGTGTTTTGAAACATTAGGTACCACCCTTCGCCTCATCTACCGCAAATCAGGAGTCACTATCTGGGCAAAGTGCTCCCTTTTCTGTCTTTTCCCATAGAGTCTCCAAAGGGATTTGCTGGGTTTTCTTTCACACTGTGTAGAATGAGAGGCTAAGGCCATGCTGAACAGTTCCCAGCCTTTCAGTAATCCCTACAGTGGTCAGATTGGAGCCTCCCTTTACAAATAGAGAAGCTCCAGCAAATTTACTCAATTTTAGCAATGCATCTGTGGGATGTAATGTATGTATGTGTAGATGTGTGTGTTTAATATGACATTAACGTTAACACACACACAACTGTTCTAAGTATTTCTGAGAGATTCCAGGTGCTAAGGAAGCTCCTAGTTGAAGCTGCAATCAGGGCCAACACAGAGGGCCCCCTGGGCTGTGGGCTGCTATGGTGCTAACGGCTCTTTTCTCCCCAGCCTTCATCTGCTGTTGGAGTCCGTACTTCCTCTTCGATATCTTGGACAATTTCAGCCTCCTTCCAAACACTAAGGAGCGTTTCTATGCCTCTGTGATCATTCAGAACCTGCCGGCCTTGAATAACGCCATCAACCCCCTCATCTACTGTGTTTTCAGCAGCTCCATCTGCTTCCCCTGCGGGTAAGGGGCATTCCTGCCTGGGTCAGACATGGGGATGCCCACTGCAGTCACCTCCAACCTGTGTCTTCCTCATGCCAGAGCTCCCTGGCAGATTATAGATGAGACACTGGAGGGTCAAAAATGTTCCGCTAGTATGACAAATTCAAATCCAGCCTCATCCATGGCTCATGCTTTCTCCTATATTACATCACCTCTTATAGCAACCATCCTAATCAGGTCACATACAGAAGACCTTTTTTTTTAGTTCAAAGCTTCCCTACGTGAGTTGTCGCAATACAATGCCTTGGTGATAGCAGAACATGAAGCATTATTATCATTTTACAGATAAATTCAGGCTCACAAGGTTACATGACATTATTGAGATTATATGAATAATTAGTTGCAGAGCTGAAATTAGATCCCTCCCACATCTACTCAGTCTGCTGTTTTTCAGCTGTTTTTCAGCTGTTTTACTGCACAAGCTACAGGGAATAGGTGGAAAAATCCATAGGATATAGAACAGTAGAATGGTTTCAGGTTTGGGTTTGATGCCCTCCACTGGATCTCTCCTCCATCAATTGACAAGATCTTTCAAGTCCTCCTAGAATTATGGCTGGTAGCATTTCTCAATGATCCTAAAAATCTTTGATAAGTACTAGAATGGCTACCATCCCCTGCCCCCCCTTGCCTCTGGCCTCTCGCTCGTTGCCGCACTCCCCTCTCTTCCCCTTTCCTCTTGTCTCCGTGATAGAATTGTAGAATGGTTGCAGGCTTGGGTTTGATGCTGCCATTGCTGATTCACAGCTACACGTGACCTAGGGAAAGTTATTTAACTTCCATAAACCTCTGTTTCCTCACGTGTAAAAAGGGGCTAACAGCAGTGCCTACCTCTTAGCCAGTGATGTCTCTGTCCATTGGGCTCTGGTCCTGACCAGTAGGAAGGAGGGCTGTGAGTGGTGGGGAAGGAAGGTGAGGGGTATTACATATAAAGTGCTTAGCATAATGTCTGATTCTTAATACAGTCTCCATAACTGTTAGCTCTTAACATCCCTACTTCCCTTTTCATCAGGTCAAATTATTTTTCCTCTGTGCTCTGTTCTTTCTCTAGGGAGCAAAGATCACGGGATTCCAGAATGACATGTCAGGAGAGAACTGAGAGGCATGAGATGCAGATTCTGTCCAAGCCAGAATTCATGTAGACCCTGAGGCAGTGGTATTGCTAGCCTGAGCCCCATCGGCTCTCCTGGGTCCCCATCAGCACCCTGGGCATGTGCACGAGGCCTGAGCCAACTTCTCCACCCTGCACTTTTCATCACTTGGGGGATGCACAAGGAAAACACCCTAATGAGTGTGTGTCACCTGCATTGGCAAGTTCTAGCCAATATGAAGTCACATACTATTCACACCAGCCAGGAAAGATGCCCCGTCTTTCCCCACCACTCCCAGCTGTCCGTCCCACTGGTCAGCACCAGAATCAATGGACAGAGACTTCACTGGCCCAGGGCCTAGGCTTGGGCAAGCAGAAGGGACTAAAGAAGCATGGTACATGTGTCTTACAATTACAGTTTAAGAAGTAAATAAAAGTCTTACCTGGGCCTAGATTTTCCTCCCATTTTTGGATTTAAGTTTCAGTAGTTGTAGCCAAAGAGATGTTTGTCTTGAAATGCCAACAAATTCACTTCCAGGCATTGAAGCTTTGTGTCTCCTCTGCAGATGGCCTTGGTTGACAGATGGATGTGTTGGCAGCAGCCAACCTCACAGTCTCATTGTATCAACAAATGATTTGTAGAAAGAACACAAATGCTGGCCCTCCAGAGCAAGGTTGAAATTGAGGGGTACTTTCTCTGGTAGGAAAAGAAATAGTACAAAAAGTCATGGGTCCCTGACCTCCAGGCTCTGCGAGTTGGGACCTGGGTCTCAACACATGGCTTTTCGGCTCTCTGAGGGCTCCTCCCTTTGCATTCTACATTTAGACCACTCTGGGCTCCATTCCTCATACCTCAGGGACACTTCTCTCTCTTTAGTTGGGAGCTGAATTCCTGTGGCTTTTCCAGGCATGATGTTGCTGTAAGATCTTTATCATTTTTGCATGTCGCACCCATTGTCTATCTAACACCTTGGCTGGGAAGCACTGGTGAGGCTTATTTTGACAAGTCCGGAGTTTGGTATATATAAGCATAATCCAAGTGAAATATGACTAAATGTTTTCTAGTCAACTTTTATCATCAGATTTTTCCATAAGTGGAAGTGGAATAATTTAATTTGATTATATATACATCCCCACCCACGGCTCTGGGATGCGCGTGAGCTCCTTATTTTTAGCCTCACATACATTCTTGACATTAAAATCTCCTTGGCAAAACCCTTCTTCCCAGAATTATTCTGAGCTTAAGCCTTTTTTTTTTTTTTTTTTGGTCTACTGCTAGTGGAGTTATTAAAATCTGCAATATATTTTAATAGCACCCTATTCCTCATTATGGTGTCAACCCAAAGATTTCACATTTAAGGTCACAGTGGCATTTTTCCCATAAACTCTCTCTTTCCAATTCCATCTGACCTTAGGGAAAGTATTTCTTAGCCAGAAATCAGATTCTTCAGTCACCATCTCTCCAAATTATTTTCTGAATTTGAAGAGACTGAATAATCTAGTCGTACGTCTATAGAACAGTTTTGAAGGCTGCCTTCCTTTCTGTCCAATCAGTTAAAAGTGAGAAACCCTGGAAGCTTTGAGTGGTTGAGAAGTGCTTTTTGACATTTCACTTTAAATCAAGATGTGCCACAGAAGACCCACAGAATCATTGCTAAAATAACTGCCTGCATGGGAGCCTATTAACAGCAAAATCTGGCGGCTGTCCTCACTGGCAAAACGGGAGGCCTGGGTTCTTTTGACAGATGCTTTCAACCTCTGTCAAGCTCTGGTCTGCAAAAGACATTACAAGCCTACCTCACCCATCAATAGACCCTGAAAGTTAAGGAGAGAGTTGAGTGAGGGGCTTTGTGCTCCTTAAAAACTGTGAATGTGATTTTGTAGTTGTTGTGGTGCTGTGTCTCCCATTCCCAGTGAAGACTGGAGATCGGTAAGATGCTGGTACAGGCTGCTGCAGGGTAAAGCTGCCGTTAAAATGAAACTTGCTTCATATTGGGGTGGATTCTAGAATCTTCATTCTCATGTATTTTCTGAGCTTGAGGAAACATGATTTAAACATTGAGGAACACTGGTAATTGTTCCATAGTTTTATGACCTTGGACAAATCATTTAATGTCTCTGAGCATCAACTGTCTCATCTGTAGGATGGGAACAAAATAAGTCTGGAGCAGAGGGTCTTGTGGGTTCTTTAGAGATACAGGTTCTGAGATTGTAAAGACTTAAATTACATCCAGAGAGTCAGAGCTTCTGGAATTTCTTCCCCAGGGGACCAATGACTGTATGACTCAAAGCTGAGTTATTTGCTCTTTAGAAGTTGTAACTTCCCCCTCTATCACCATGAAGTGAGAGAAACATCATTTCCTAATTGGGAAATACAGTTTGAGCTCTTGGAGAAAGTGAGCAGCTTAGTGTTGTGATGTCTCCGCTTGTAGCCTTGGATGCCCAAGTTGGGGCAGAGAAGCCAGCAGGGTGCTATATAAAATAAAGGTGCTTACTTCCCACAACAAGATGTCAAAGAAATGGTTACATTATCTCATAGCTTTAGGCACAGGTGAAAATTTAGGATAACGAGAATAAGTGTGTTTAATATATTTAGCCATGCTAGAGAAAATGTGTCTCCGCTTTACTGAACTAAATTAAATATAAATGGTAAAAACTTCTCTACTTTCAGGGCTTGTGTTGAGCATAATTTAATGGAAGTTTAATTTTGCCAAGCAATATCTCCTACTTTTTCCCCCCAGAAACTGGTAATACCTTTTTAATGGCTTTAGTTTGTGATTATGATGAGAAAAAATGTATTCCTTCTCAACCAAACAAACATGCAGCTTAAATTTGCTTCCTCATTTCATTTGGACAAATCTGTACATCCATATACAGAAAGGACTTTGTCTCTTCCTTCTGCATCCACAGTGTCAAAAGGGACCACAAGCCTGGGTCTGCTGGGGAAACAGGAAAACAAAAATATTTTTGGCAGGAAATAAAGCAGTTCTGCTCTTCTAGGATCATCTTGGGTGAACTACAGGGCTACTGGCAACTACAGTTCTTTTAGCATCATCTGAATATACCTCATTTTATATGCAGATCTACCAGTGTTTTCTGCAGCTTTTTGATTGTATTTGATTGAAAGGAGATGGTCCTGTTTAGGGGCCAACCTCCTCGCTTTTGGAAACCTGAAAAACACATGCTTCATTTCTCTGCAGTTGCATTTTAAGAATGCATTATCCTCAACAGGGCTGGTTTGGTTAACATTTTTAAAGTGCAATTCCACGCATATAGAATGTTAAGGTGGATGGAGGCTTGGGTCATGTAGTCTCATGGTTTTCAGTCTGCTCAGGGACCCCCTGGGAAGTCCCAGAGAGGTGACTCAGTATTCATATTTGTACACACAAAAATAGTACATGTGTAAGTCTAGAAGAAACTAAAGATAGTTAAATGGCTTAAAATCCTTGAGTTACCTGGAATGAGGGTAGAATATAGATTACCATTAGACATTGATACACCAAGAATGCATGTTTTAATTTCAAGTATCCATGTTGTAATCACTAAAATAATAGAAATAAAGTATATAACTTCGAAACTAAAAGAGAAGAAAAACAAATGATAAAATCACTCTACCAGTCCAAAAGAAGGCAAGGAAAAAGATATAGGAACATGAACAGCTGGGACAAATAGAAAGCACATAGGAAAATGGTGGATTTTCTTTTGTCCAAATATATCAGTAATTGTAATAATGTAAGCAGGTTAAATGCTCCAGTTAATAATCAAGGATCGTCAGACTAGACTTTTGTTTGCAAAAGACATGCCTAAAACACAATGACACAGAAAATTTGAAAGTAAAAGAGTGGACAAAGGCATTCTATGGAAACAGTACTAAAAGAAAGCTGGTGAGACTATATTAATAAAACCTAAATAAACTTTAAGGCAAAAAGCACTAGTAGAGTTAAACAGGGACATTTCAAGTGATAAATGTTTTAGTTCAATAAGATGATATAATAATTCTGAATTTCTATGCATTTACAATATGGCCTCAAAGTATGTATTCCAAAAAGTCAGAACTACAAAACAAATAGATAAATCCACAGCCGTAGTGGGGAATTTTATCACTCTTAATTCCAGTAATTGAAGCAGGCAAAAATAAGGAATGATCTGCATAACTGGAACAACATGAGTAACACAGGTAGGTCACTTTATCCTACCACCCCAGAGTAAACAGTCTTTTCAAGCACATGTGAAGCAGTTATAAAAGTTGACCATATGCCAGGCCATAAAACAGGCTTCAAAACTTTCAAAAGATTGAGGAGGCTTCCCTGGTGGCACAGAGGTTACGAATCCGCCTGCCAATGCAGGGGACGCAGGTTCAAGCCCTGGTCTGGGAAGATCCCACATGTCGCGGGGCAACTAAGCCCGTGCGCCACAACTACTTAGCCTGCGCTCAAGAGCCCGTGCTCTGCAACAGGAGAAGCCACAGCAATGAGAAGCCCATGCATCACGATGAAGAGTAGCCCCCGCTCGCCACAATTAGAGAAAGCCCACGTGAAGCAACAAAATCCCAACGCAGCCAAAAATTAAAAAAAATTAAAAAATAAAAAGCTTTCAAAAGATTGAGCTCATATAGTCTGGTTTCTCTGATCACAATGCAATTATGCTAGAACTCAAGAGCAAGAGTATAACTAGAAAATTACCAAATGTTTGGAAATTAGGAAATATGTTTCTTAATAACCTATGGTCAAAGAAGAAAATACATGAAAGTAGAAAATAATTGTACTGAATGATAATGAAATTATATCAAATGTGCGGGATACAAACTAACACTAGAAAGAAGAATTTTTCTTCTTTTCCTTTAAGTCAATGAATAAATCATCTATCTTACGAACGTAGGAAAATTCACCAAAATAGACCCAGAGGAAATATAAGGAAGAAAATAATAAGAGGAGCAAAATTAATGAAATAGAAAACAAACATATGGGAATTCCCTGGTGATCCAATGGTTAGGACTCCGAGCTTTCACTGCCAAGGGTGCGGGTTCAATCCCTGGTCTGGGAACTAAGACCCGGCATGCTGTGCATAGCATGGCAAAAAAAGAAAAAGAAAACAAACATATAATTTTAAAAGCTCAAAAGATAAAATTCTGTTTTTTGAAAAAATAATAAAATTATAAACCTCTTGTGAGACTGGCAAAGGAGAAAAAAAGAGGGAAGGCACAAATAAGCAGTATCATTTATTTTAAGGATATCACTGTAGGTCCTAAGGTCAATAAAGAGATAATAAAAAGATATTATGATCAAGCTTATACTAAAACAAACTGAAAATATAAATGAACAGGACAACTTGCTATAACTGACAGAAGAAGAAACAGAAAATATGAGTAGTAAGTATCATAACTACTAAAGAAAGAATATGGCTTCATTGGTGAGTTCTACCACCACTGAAGTACAAAGCAACTCCAATTTTATACAGTCTTCAGGAGGCTACAAAAAGGGTGACTTTTAAAATATTTATGAGACTAAAAAAGCCTTAATGCCAAAACCCTACAAAGATATTACCAAAAGGAAAATTACAAGTGAACTTCTGTCATGAAAATTAAAAGTTCCAAATAAAATGCTAGCAAACCAAATCCAGCAAAATATAAAAAGACTAAAGCGTGTGGCCAAGTTGTATTCATTCCAGGAATGCAAAGCTGGCTTAATATTAGAAAAGCACTTAAATAACTCATTACACTAATAGATTACAAGATTAAAAAAAAATCAGTGTAATAGATACAGGAAAATGTTTGATAAAATTACTGGGCATTTAGGCATGATAAAAGATTTTCAAAAACTTGAGATAAAAAGAAATTCCTAACTCTAAAGGCTATTACCAAAAAACCTAATGATAAAACTTTGAGGTGGTCCCTTTGAAATAAAGAATGGATGAGTAAAGAATGCCAGCATCATCACTTTTATTCAATATCATATTGAGATCCTAGCCAATACAGTGGAGCAAGCAAAAAAAAGAAGAAGAAAGGTGTAAGAACTGGTAATGAATAATAAAAATCAGTATTATTGATATAAATGTATAGTAGAATATCAAAAATAATATACAATTATTAGAATTATTAATTCTATTATAATTCTAAATGAGATAAATTATTAGAAGTAATCATGAGGTTTAGTAAGGTTGCAGAATACAAAATCAATATACAAAAACCTACATCATTTCCACACGACAGCAACAAACAAAATTTATTTTTTTAAATTATTATTTACAATCCTTAAAAGATGAAGTTCATAAATGGATATAAATCTCTATGGAGAAATCATAATACTATTAAGAGGTATTAAAGAAGAACTAATTAAATGTAGAAATAAATACATCATGATTATTATTTGGAGGACTGAATATCATAAAATCATCCATTCTTCTCCAATCAATCCATAAAATTAATACAATGACAATCAAAGCTCCAGCAGGAATTTTATAGAACTTTACAAGGTGCCTCTAAAAATTTATATATAAAAGCAGAGGGCCAAAATTAGCCAAGATACTCTTGACTAAGAAGAAAAAAATGGGAATGTCTGATTGACCACATACCAAAACTTATCACAAAGCCATAATAATAAAAGTTGTGGTATTGTGTCAGAGTAGACAAATTAACAAACGCAACAGAAAAAAGAGTCCAGAAAAAGATGTCCACATATAGGAAAACTTGACTTATTTCACAGATAGCATTGCAGAGGAATGGGAAAAGAGTGCTCCTTTCAATACATGATGTGAGGACAATTGTGCATTTACATGGGAAAAATTGAAAATGAAAGCCTGGTGGATTATATGCAAAAGTGGTTCCAGGTGGATTCTGGATCTAACTGCATGAGACAAAATGCCTTGAAGAAACAATGTAGGAGAATATCTTTAAGATCTCTGAATAGGGAAAGAGCTCTTTAAACAAAACAAAAACACTGCTGCTCTAAAAGGAAAAGACTGATAAATTTGACTACCTAAAATTAGAAACTCTGTTCACCAAAAGACATCATAAAAAGGGTGAAAAGGCAAGCTACAGAATGAGAAATGATATTTGCAAATGACCAAGATGTAGTATTTAGAATATATAAAAACTCATACAAATCAGTAAGAAAAGACAATAGAAGGCAGATAGAAAAATGGGCAAGGCTTGACTTCAGAAAAGAGAAATGGCCAATAAACACACGAAAATGGATGTTAAATCTCATTAAAAGTCAGGGAAAAGTAAATTAAACCACAATGAAATACTAAATGCACCCACCAGATTGACAAAAATTAAAAAACTTTGACAATATTAAGTGTTGGTGAGGATGTGAAGTATCAGAAATTCTCGTTCTGTTCTTGTGGGTAAATAATTAGTACAACCATTCTAGCCTTTAACTAATAAAAATTAAGGATGCATGTACCCTGTAGCCTTGAAATTCCATTCCTGAGTACAGATACTACAGAAGAGTATAATTATGTGTGCCTTGATATCTGTGAAAGAATATTCATAATAGCATTGATTTTAAGAACCCCAACTGGAGGAAAACAAATGCCCACCAGTACAACAGATAAATAGATTGTGGTATATTTCATACAATAGACTACTTTACAGCAGCAGAAATGACCAAAACTCCCACGATAGCTGCCTGCCACAACATGAAAAATTCTTTAAAAACGTAATATAAAAGTAAAGAAGATAGATACCAAAAGATACTATATAATTTCATTTATGTAGAATTCAAAAACAGCCAAATTATACTATTGTATTTGGGGATGCACCCACGGACATTAAAATTCTAAAGCGAAGCAAGGAAACTACTTTTTATAAAAGCCAAGATTGGGGCACCTTTGTGGGGAGGGAAGAGCTGTGCTTAGGAGGGAGCCTGCAGAGAAGAGGCTGGCAGGGTTCTACTTCTTGCTCTGGGTGTTCACTTTCTAATTACTCATTAAGCGATAT